GAAATCCCCCAATCCCTTGAACGCGCCAGGCTCCACGAACCCGACAACCTCCCACTCGCTCCCCAGCACGTCCTGGCTCTCAACCTGCTCCACGAACCCCAGAATCCGATCCTTGACCGTGCCGGGCTTCTGCTTCGGTTCGTCTCCGTCGGCGTCGTCGCCTCCCTTCTTGCCACCAGCAGCAGGCTTCTCCTTGACAGCCTGCTTCAGCACGCTCGTCGCGCACGTCACGCGCAGCCTCATCCGCGCCCTCTGCACGGGGATAGGCTGCGCCGCAATCAGCGCCTTCATCGCCTCGAGAGCCTGCGACTTGGCCGACTTGGTCGTCGTCACGCCCGTCCAGTGGAACCCCTTCTCGCGGGGCTTCGCCTCGCCCTCCTCCCCGCCCGCCGGCGTCCCCGCGCCGCTCGCTGTCTTGGATCCGCCGCCAGCAGTGCCCTTCTTACCAGGCGCATCGTCTCCATCCCCGTGTGCCGCAGAGCTCAGCATATCGAGCGCCTTTTCAATCATGCCCGTCGTATACACCCTCTTCGTCCTCGGATCCACCAGCCGACTCGCCACGATCCCAATCACCTCGTTATGCACCCGTTCCGTCTGCTCCGCCCTCTCCTTCCCGCCCACCTGCATCTCCCCCTTCTTCAATATCTCCAGCACGATATCGTCCGTGCTCTTGCCCTTGCCAAACGCCTTTTCCAGGTCTTCCTTGGGCGCCGTCTGGCCCTTGGAGACGTTGAGGAACACGTTGGGGATCTGCAGCACGTTGTCGAGGTCCGTTTCGATGCCGGACCGCCACTCCATGACCTTGTTCTTGTAGCACGCAATCTCGAAGCGCTTCTTGCCCTTCTTCAGGCGGACCATGGACACGTTGGTCAGCTTGATCTGGTTCGAGGGTTGGTTGATCATCCGCGACATTGTGGCGGTTGTGGAGTGGTCGCTTTTCGATAAGTCTTTGAAGTATGGAGAATCGTGTGTAGGATGGTCCTTCGCGACCGTATGTGGTTGTTTGCGACGACGAGAGAGATGGTTACTTGGGTTCGTTGTTGTTCGGTGAGGTTGGAGGCAGCCGTCGGCCAGAAAAGTTTTGGCGGGGTAAAGTATTGATGTGGTGCAGCTGCGAGGAGGGGCAGCAGGTGGTGAAATATGTTTACGGCAGGTGCTGGGCTGGTCTGACGTTGTTTTAGCGGATACCGAGCCAGGAATTCTGCAGCTAAGGCACAGAAGGCGCCGGTGACTAATACTGTCATTTCGACTCATCTCCGTTACAGCTGCAGGACAACATGGTTGGTAGAGACGGAACCGTTCAAACAGCACCATCAGAACAGGATACCTTGAAAGTTTACGGGAAAAAAGAGGCATATTCTAACAGCATAACTAGATTCTATTGCGCCGGGCTTAAACTGGCGCTATCGGTAAACCGGACGACTGGGTCCTCCCGTATTGACAAACTCCAATATGCCCAGTATTGTACTACGGCCCAATCCGAGCGTTCACTGCTACAACAGCATTCCATACGCTATTCAATCTTCGTTTCGTACATTGCTCATTACCGTGAGTGCATTTATGCAACCCACTCACCGCCAAGCCAGCGGTTGAAGAAGTCCGACGAGGCCTCGGGCTGGTCCATGGGGACCATGTGTCCGGCGCCGTACAACTGCATGAAGGTGAAGTTGCCGCTGGACTTGACCTTTCCGTACTCCTCACCCTTACCAACGGTAAGACCCTTGACCTCGGCCTTGTTGAAGCTCTTCTGGCCAGGCCACTCAAGAGCCTCGGTCCAGGCACGGTTGCCGAGCCAGTTGCAGATGTAGTCAGCATCGCCAGCGTAGATGAGAACGGGGATCTTCTCGAGGAGGCCAGGAACGATGCGGTGGAAGGGTTGGAACCAGTCACCGGCGAAGAGGAAGTTGCGGTTGATGTCAAAGTTGCAGCTGTCGTAGCTGTCGACCTCAGCACCGAGGGCCTCCTTGACCTCATCCTGGTTGAGGTACTCACTGATCCAGCCAAGGGCAGAGTAGCAGAGGTTGCTGCTGTCCTCGCACTTGCCACGGATATCGTAGACGTTCTGGCCGGTGCGCTGGTAGGGGCCGATGAGGGCGTTGTTGCAGTAGATGCTGGCGGGAACGCAAGACCAGACGCTGCCAGAGTCGTAGCAGTTCTTGATCAGGCTTTGGCAACGGGGGAGAGCGTTGTCCATGGCCTGGCACTCGCCCTCGTCGAGAACAGCCTTGTAGCCACCCTCACCGCAAGCCATGGGGCGGTAGTATCCGTACTGGGTCCAGCCGTCGGTGAGACCGTTGCCGATCAGGACACTCTTGAGGTTGATGTTGCGGTCCTCGTGGGAGAGGATTTCAGAGGCGAAGACGGGGATGTAGTGGCCGGCGTACGACTCGCCAGCAATGTGGAAGTCCTGCTTGGCGTACTCGGGGAACTGGTGGAAGAAGAGGGACATAAGAGCGTAGACGTCCTTGCCGGCAGCGACCGTGTTGGAGACGGAGGAACCAGAGTAGGAGTAGCCGACGTTGACGGGCTGGTCAAGGAAGATGACGGAGGCGTTGTTGTTCCACGACCACTCGTTGTTGACAATCTTGAGCTTCTTGTCGATGGAAGCGGGGCCGAGCTCCATGAAGAGACCAGTCAGGGAAGAGCAGCCAGGGCCACCGTTGAGCCAAAGGACGACGGGGTCGTTCTTGGGGTCATTGCGAGACTCGAAGAACCCTGCGATAAGGTTAGAAACGGCTCCAAACGGACATATACAATACAATGTATCGAGCGGGCTGGCTTACAGTAGAAGAGATGCTTGTCGTTCTCCTCATCATCGAGGTATCCGCTGTACTGCTTGACCTTGTCGACGCCGAGAGCGGAGGGGTCGACCTTCTTGGCGCGAAGGTTGAAGTTCTTGAGGTCACCGCCAATCTTGCGGTGCTTCTCGCCATCCTTATCAACCCACATGCCTTGGACATCGGCGCCCTTGACAACGTGGTCCCACTTCTTATCGGACTTGCGGTGGTGAGGCTTGGGCTTGGTGGCCTGGGCGGTCTTCTTGAAGGACTCGACGGCCTCGGGAGCGAGAAGGGTGATCTCGTCCCAAACGGCCTTGGCCTCGGAGGTCATCTTGCCGAACTTGTCCTCGAAAGCCGAGAGCCAGTTCTCGCCGGTGGTCTTAATGGAGTCAAAAGGGCTGTCCTGGCCGCCAAGAACCTGCTGGTCCAAGGCGAGGGCGGTGGAGGCCGCGCCGAGGACGAGGGCGGAGGTTGAGAACCTCATGATGGGCAGTCAACTCGATTGATGGAGCACTGACGATGGAATCGAAATCAGATAAGATGAAATGAGATGACTATGGGAAGGGGAAGAAAGTAGAGATGGCGGAGGGAGAGGAGGTTGTAGATGAGAGGTTGAAAGAGAATGAGAGGAAGAGGGAGCTCGGAGGAAGTGTGACAGGCGACAGGCAGGAAGCTCGCGGACGTAATAAATGAAACATGACGGAGGCGGGCGGGTTGGCTGGGTGCTCTGCCGCATACTCTGGGTGCTTGGGGGTGGGGGGAGACCCAGAGAGCAGAGGTGCACAGCTTGTCACTGCTGCTGCCATCGGGGCTGGGGTGCGTTGGCCGAGCTGGGTCGCGCTACCGCTGTCGCAGGCTCGCAGCAGAAATGGCAACGACACAACTCAAGCAACAGCTCTACGGATACGGATACCTACACAAACCGCGTGGGCCACCCTCAATGCACAGGTTGCTGTGGAGAGCTCCAGCTCACAACGCAGAGAAACGACTGGCTCGTGAGCTCCTCAAGGGTTGGCCAAACGATAGTCGGGAAACACTGTCCACCTGATCCCCGCGCCTCGGACGCTAGAGAAGGGAACCTGCCTGTTGCAGATCTGCTAACAGACTCTCACTCATCGATGCACAGCAATCTGATAAGCCGGTACGTTTCCTCGCCGTTCCTCGCTCTTCGCCAGCCCTGCTTCGTCTGCGTCATGTCAGGTACCGCCGTACTGCTTGGCAATCACCTCAGGCACCACCTCACAATCCCACGGCCAGGAACCTGTGCCTGGACCTGGGACCTTTTGCTGCGGAGGTTCCATAATTCTTCCTCGCTGATAAGCTGATGCCACCATCCCATTCGCCCGGCTTAAGGTAGCCATTCCAAACCAAACGGGAGGATCTCACGTCCAGCGAAATCCACCATCAACGCTCCAAACGCAAACTGCAAGACCGGACGCCCCAGTAACAAGTCCATCTTCGTGCTGGCGGTGTTGTCGGTGTATCGAGGAACTTTGAAAGAAGGAAGATGGTGTTCGTACTAGACCTTACGCAATATTTGCCTCATTCAGCCGCCGCTACCCACGTCTGCCACAACCCATTACTTTTCAGTGCGTTGGAACTGTTTCTCAATGCTGCCGGCGCGGCTTCAGTCAATCGCCAGCGAACTGCAACTGAAGTTCGCTTGCCAAATGTCTTGTGTGCTGCTTACGGGCGCTATACTCGCCCACTTCTGAATACTAGCCTTTAGGCCATTCGTCTTCCTTCCTCTGAATACGTGCCTCACTATATTCGTAGTTTGTGTCAGTCCAGTAAGCCATCCTTCGTCGCGGCCAAGACATGACTTCATGTGGGTGGATCCTTCCCTGATATGTGCGAGAACCTCTTCGGCCGTCCAGATACCCACCCATCCATCCACCAATGCCATGCCGTTTCGCCCGATCGACTGAAAGGGTTTGAACGCAGACCTAGGTACTTTGCCGTCAGGATTCAACTTCACGAATGTACTTCGACATTCATCCTCATATCCACCAGACTCTGTCTAGAAACGAGTCGTAGCAATCGCGGCACTGGCAACGTCCCCTTTCCTGACATCTCGGCATGCACCGGTAGGGTCGATTCGCCATCATAGTGAACTTGTTAGAATTTGCTATCATCTACTGTGGGCTGTCGGCTATGTCTAGCCGTATGCCTTCACATACGTACTCCTTCCATCCATTCCATGGTCCGATAGCACGCCCACTAGCCAGACCAAAATATGGCATTGCCGCCATTGTTGCCCAATATCAGACCGTTTGTTGACTGTCCCAAAGCTGAAATCGTCACAACCTGCCGACTTGCCCAGAACGCCGCCTCCCACCCGGCCTGCTTATGAGCAGGCGGTCGAGACCCCGGAAGAGCAATGTCGTAGGCTTTGCCCATCCAGCTCATGACTTGCGCGGCCGTATTCCCCTCGTTATCGCCGCCAATGTAGGCGAAGCACTCAAACACCCAATACGCATTAACTCCATCCCCAATACTGTACATAACTTGCGAGTTCCGTATACTGTGCTTTACAATTCTTTCGTTCGACTGTGGCGCTGCTCCTGTCATTTCGGATCGCGATTAGATTAACGACTCCGTGGTAACTCGGGTATATCGATCGCTGGGAAATCTGCGTGAGCCACCACAGTCGTAGCTTTCCTGTGCCTGTGCCGCACCATTCGAATGTAGATGCCAGAATCGGCTCGTCTCGCTCAAAATCCCTGGTTTATCAGGTGGCTGCGTCGGCCGCTGACATGGACGGGCTCGACGCTCGGTTCCGCCGAAAGAACTGGAAGGCATTCATGCGGAATCTACTAGATTTCTTCTTCACAACCTTGCCGCCTTCTGTTTTGCCCAAAGACCCGTTCGACAAGTGAGAGCCGTTGGCGTCGTAGTGAGGTCCGTTTGCGTCGTGATCCAGGAACGTAGACTCGGGCTTGACTTCGGCGAATGGCTTTGGCTCCGAGATCGTGGGTACGCCTGGAAGCTGCTCCGTCGACTCTCTGCTGACAATGCTAGTGCCTTGAGTGCTCGGCGACAGAGGCATCTTGCCGGTGGTGGCACTCGTTGCCTGTGAGGCCCAGTCCCCAGTGTACGGGCCCGTAGTGCTGCCGTCCGTCGTCTCGCTGCACCGCTGCTTGCCGTTATGGCCGTGATGATTGTCCGGCGAACTACTAGCCCTGTCCCTGCAGTGGAATGGATCGCTCGCTGCAAAGTCCGCCACGGAATCAAAAGACGTCACGATGCCGTTCACCTCCTTAGGGTCCTCCGGCTCCGGCATATCAGTGATGAGCGCTGTCGTGTGCTCCGAGCCCGCTGGCTCCTGGGACAGCCCATCATCTTCCTGCTTCAAGTCGTCAAGCAGCGGGGGCGGCATGGTAAGCTCGGTCAGAGGCGTCGTCACCCGCGGGGTCATGGAGTCTCTGCTCCCTTCAGGCCCGCCGGCCAAACTCATAGTTCGTGGGGAGAAGGCGCCGTCGTTGCGCAAAAGTCTCTTGCGGATAGGATCCTCCTTCGCCTGCTCTTCCCTGATCCGTTGCTCGAAAAGACCTTTATTGATTTCGAGCTCGTCAACTGTGTATTTCATTGCTGGCAATATGTCCGCCACTCCCTGGAAAAGAGGGATGGCGAATAGGTTCATGAAGCTCAGCTGGGCCTTAGACAGTGAGATCAAGTCCTTCTTCGGAGGCGACAGGAGAGACGACGTAATTTCTAGCTCACTCTCCATGGAAGCTTGTCGAGAGAACTCGTCCGAAAGAATGTACATCCACTTCAGTGCGGTCTCGTGCTTCCTTGCCTATAAGCCGTTGGGTTAGTAGTCGAACTTGAACACGAGAAATTGTGAGCTACTGACCACGTTGCTGATGTCTGCACACTTGATGAGAAGTGAGCATACGAGAGCCTTTTGCTCCTCTTGCATACGACCATTCCAACCATCAGTTGTGTTGTCGACGTCCAGTTTGTCCTGGGTATCTCCGAGCCTTTTCATGTAATCAAAGTGCAGGCCCATGTCCGTGGCAAGGATGGAGCTGATCATAAGGTGCCGCATCTTGGTATCTTCGAAAGCGCTTGGCCAATATCGCCGAAGGATCTGTGAATAGGCGGCGCAATGGAACGACTCGAGCACAGATCGATCATTGTACAACTGTGCCAGAGGGGCATTGAGAGTGACCAAAAATCCGTTGTTGACACCTGGGTGGCCTACATCATGTCCGATTGCCGTAATCAAAAGCGTCAAGCCGTCAAACGGATGGAGCAGCTTTGCCATTGGGGAGCTCTGCGGTGGATCTTGATCCACCAAGGGATCGGCGGGATATGGCGCAAGAATACCAACACGAACCAGGAAGTGAAAAGTAGCCTGTAGAACATCAACAACATGGCGGAAGTTATGATAAGGGACAAAATTGTTGTATGCAGCCCGGCAAGCGACCAGAAAGCTTATGAGTTGGTCTAGTCAAATCGTCAGCAGCCGTCCGCGCATGGCTTATGTAGGCGCAATGTACTCACCTGTCGGTATCCGCCAGCGATCCAGCTCGGGCATTGTCAAGGCATGCTTGAACATCACCATGGCCGCAACAAGGAGCTCGTCATCTGTGAAACTGTGCGCGCAAAAGTGCCACTGACCAACGGCGGCAGCGACAGCAGCTTGACGATCGGTGGAAACGGCAATGCTAACGTTGGAGATCCGATCATCGTCAGAATCCGCGCCTGACCGACAGATGCCCCTCATGAGACCGGATACCATGGCTTCCCTGAGGTAGGAAAACGGTTTCTCCTCGTTCACCCCAACCCATGACCGTTTTCTGCCGCGCCGTACTTCGAGCATTTCCTGCTGTTCACGGGCCGCATCCTTATGCGCCCGATAAGCATGGATCTCGAGACTCGTGATGCATTTGAGGTGTAAAGGGCTGATGATGACGTCCACGGCTCCTAGGTCTAGGCACCGAATGATCAGGCGTCGGTCCACTGACGCCGAAGACTTGGGTTTCGCATCGTCGCTAGCCGGAATCGTTGCGCTACCATACTCGGTAGGCGAAAAGCTCACAATGGGTATCGGCACGATCAGCTTTGATAAGCTGCGCAGATGCGACTCGGTCATGATCCTTTGCAGCAATTTGAGGCCGTAGACATCCTCCTCCGGAGTGTGAATGTTGATGTCAGCGGTAGTCGGGCGGGAGTGCGGCGATGGTGATCTAGACCGAGACCGGATTCTGGGTAGCCGTTCGTCGTGGGGCACATCAATTAGAACCAGAGTTGGCGTAAGGTCCATCATAGACTCGTCCGAAAGCTGGAAGAGGGTAGATATGCAGGCCGAGCCTGTGGAACAAAGATAAACTGAACATATAATTAGTACACGATGCCACGAGTGTATGATATTCAGTCTGAGCCCACCTTCTCCAAAAGTGTCCAATAGCAGATCTGCATCCTTCTGAATATCATCATCCTCCTGCACGACGGAGTCGGCAGCGTCTAGTGGCTGATCATTTTGCGTATTAGGTCGGATAAGCCTGTCCTGGCGAACCTGGCGGTTCACGTAGACGACATGGCAAGTGGCATCGTCCATCATGGCTTTAGGGAGCAACCAGTCTCGCGACCGGAGCGCTCTGGCCACAAGGGCAAAGAAGATCTACGAGCGTAACGATGCGATTGATCAAACTTGCAATTCTTGAGCTTTCGCAGCGGGACAAGTCGAGGACGGCGACCCAGTCCTGTCGAGAAGCAGCACGGTGGCGCAACGCCTTCGGTGTCCAGGTAGATGGGCAATGCGCAACGAATGATTCAATGAAGCAGGCTTCGTGATAAAGTCGTCGAGATTGGAAGGCAAGATGTGATCGGGGTGTCGACCAGGAATCTCATGAATGGTACTTCACCAAGTGCGGGCGAGGAAGCAGCGGTAGCGCGATGGTTCCGACGGTCACCAGGATTGGCATCGATGGTAGTCGCACGAAATCGGATTGGCCGAGATCATGGACGTGATGTTTGTTCCTAAAGTCGAGGCGTGTACGGATCCTTTTGGGTTTTTGTGTGAGTAGGGGCGATCGAGAGAGGGGGGATTTGTCGTTTCGCAGTTGCGGGTACCGTCGCGCGGAAAGTTCGCATGTACTCGAGACGAAGGGTGGAGGCTTCGGTATGCTGGCGCTGTTGATAACGAGCAAAGTCTTTTTTTTTTTGGTCAGTCTGGCATAGGAGGAGAATGAGAGGAGGAAAAGATTGCAGAATTGGGCGACAGAGAAGCGGAGCACAAGAGGGAAGCGACGACAAGTGTACGTGATATCATGAAGGGTAGGCTACGTACAACAAGGGCTGGGACGAACGGGCGTGAAGTGGGAAGAAAGGAAAGAGGGCGACTGGGCGGCCAGCTGGGACGGGGAGGATTGGAGTTTGGGTCCTTGGAGGACTGGGACTGGGAGGAGAGTACGAAAGTACAATGGACCGGGTCGAGTACGAAATTGTTAAGCAACGCAAGGGGGGGGTGGGTGGATGTACCGGGTGCGAAAGAGGGCCTCGAGTGAGTGAGAGACAGACAGCCCAGACGGGGACGGGAGGAGAGACAACGGGAGAGACGAGAGAGACAGCCCCAGGCTCTGCCCTGAGAGGTGGTTGCAGTTGCGGGTGCGGGTGCGGGTGCGGTGCAGGTTGCGGCAAGCAGCCTCGAGCAAGGCAAGTAAGTACGTAGCACCAGCACCAACAGTAGAAGCACACAATAGGTAGCAAGCAGCAGCAGCAGCAGCAGGCACTGGGAATGTGTGGTGTGCATGTGAGGTGTGGAGGGCGTATGGGTTGGGTGGGTAGGTGGGCAGAAAAGGGCACCATGGGCGTACGCACCACGCAGCAGGTACTCCGTACTTCCAGTGGATGAGAGCGTACTCCCAAGTTGGCCCTAAAAATTGCTGCTTGCGAAAGGGGTGAAAAAAAAATAAAAATAAAAAAAGACGGGAAAAAAAGACTGCCGAGATCCAGAAGGCCAGGTAAAGTAATGTACGTTATCGAGTACAAGGCATCTTGCTTTGCCTGTGCCTTTCCCCTTCCACCTCACCTCAGTGCATACCTCACAGTCACCATTGTAATAACTGCCATCTCTCAGCAACGGCAAGGCACCTGAGAGACCAACTCACGAGACCCAAGTTTACCATGAGTTGGGAGGTCATTGTACCGACTACAGAGTGTAGGCCGTGCATGCCCTCCCATCACCCTACCTAACATACCCTAGGTACCCAGATTCCGGTAACAGAACGGGATCGCAAGTATTACATACTTTGCCCAACAAAGCAAGGCGGGAGAGAACAAGAAACAGAACTCGAAGCTCTCTAAACTATGGAAAAGCTAGAGGAGTGTAACTTGACTCCGGGCTAGCATGGTAACATGCACTCACCACAGACAGAGTCTTTTCTTCTTGTGCCCTGATGTGGCGACGTAAAGTTTGATCGAATGAGTAAGTGAGGTGGGGGAGGCGACTGAGTCCTCGGCACTAAGAGTGTTTGTGGTGTTGGCGTCTTTTTTATTTCTCTAGTCCAGTTTCTGAAGAATGGGAGCTCTTTTTTCGTCATATTCTCTTTGCCGGCAGTCTA